TTGCTTCTAGGCCCTCTCAGTACACAAAGCTCAAGAACTCTGTGTTTGTATGTGTGTACATGCACACATGTATACATCTGTTTATCCTGTCTACCTATATTAAAAGCCCTAAGTACATACTAATGTTTTCAATACCAGCTCAGTAACACAGGATTCATTCTAGCCTTTTTCCTTTCCTTGTCTATAACTCCTTTTCTGATAGCCAGAAATTTGGCTGTCCTTATCCACAGTATATTTACTTGTCCAATCCTAGAGTATATCTAATTTCAGAGTTGGTATATCCCTGTGGACAACAAGAGTATAATGTATGTGCATAGTTCTCTTTCAAACCAACTCACTTTTAAATGAAAGTTGTCTTTTTATCACTATTGATGGAAAAACAAAGAACTATCAATTAAACACAGAATTAGTAAAATATGTTCATGTTCTTCACGTTGGAAACCACTAGAAGGGAATAGCATGGTTTGTCCCTACATTTTCACTCTGCTTACCAGTTACTGTGTTGTGTGGTCCTGAGCAAGTTTAAATTTAATCTTTCTGAACTTAAACCTTCTCACTTTCGAAAATATTGCTGAACACTGACCTTTGATGACCAATCAGGGAAAACACCCAATGCTGCAAGTGTGTACTAAGTTACTGTTAAAGAAACGGTAGGCTACAAGATCATTTTTAAGAGAATAACTTAATTAGACCTTGGCATTATTTACTTAAATTATGTTGTTCATGTACTTATAAACTTAAACCCAGGTACCCTCAGTGTTTACACATGTTAGAGCTGCTCCAATACGAACACTTCCGAAAGGAGCTGGTGAATGCTCAGTGTGCGAAATTCATTGATGAACAGCAGATTCTACATTGGCAGCACTATTCCCGGAAGCGGATGCGCCTTCAGCAAGCCTTGGCAGAGCAGCAACAGCAAAATAACACGTCGGGAAAATGAAAAACCGGATACAGATGAGGCTCTCAATACATGTATATAATGTATTTCTTCTGTACAGTGAAGACAAAAAATGAAAACCCTTCCTATCTACCTTTATTATGGTAGCCCCTAGAACCTTTAGTGTGCTTTTTAATCCAACTTTTTATTGTTAATAGACTATTTCTTTTAAACCTGAATTGGTCTACTTTGATTTCCCTGTGGATTTGTAAGGTGTTTTCTTTTGTATACATTTAGCATAATCAGCTGATTAAGAATGGAAAAGTTAGGTGCTTTAGACCAAATGAGGCACTGGGGCATGGGGTAGGGGTGGGCCACCAAGTATACTGAATTCTAAGGCTAGCTCTTCCTGACATATAGTAGCGCAAGGCCATCTCCTGGAACCTTACTGTCTCTCAGATCAACTACTCTACCACTCTTACCTATGTAGTGAGAGTAGCGGAGTCAGTGACCTCTTTAAATCACAGGATAGGAACTGCATAAAGGTTCTCAAATTCTGCAGGACAGGAAATACCTGTATTACCTGCTTTGCAAGGTGGCTTTAAGAATCACTGTGGCCTCATTTGACCTAGTCATGGCAGGACAACTAGTGGTTAATTACTAATTGGACTCTTGACTTTAGAACAAACATGAGGAGCCTCAAATACTTGTGCTCATTTGGGAAAACTAACATTGATTTGGGAGGTACCACATACCAGGTGCTATGTTAAGTGCTTCCTTGAATTCTCATTTTATTCTCAGAACCTTGTTTATAGAAGAGAAAACTGAGGTTTGGATGGGGCGGGTAACTTGCCTGTGGTTACACAGCTAGTAAGTGGTAGAATCAGTGTGACTGACTCCAGCTTGGAGTTCTTCCCACCACTGGGTTACACAGTCTCTCCAGCCTCTCTCCAGCCCCTCTCCGCCACCTGCCTTATCCCAAGTAAAGCACATTGAGAGAGCCATAAAACGAACTGCCTCTAGTGCTCAGGATCGGTTTTTTCATAAACGAAACAAAACTGCCTGAATTAAGCAGAGGCTGGATTAGAGGTAATATGCTTCCTTCAGTGGTGAGGTTAGGTTCTACGTTCCAAAATCAAAGAAGGGGTTTCAGGAATATCAGTTGCTTTGCAGATGCAGATAATTTAAAATAAAAGATCCTGATCTTTTGAAAGATTTGGAAGGTGTGCTCTGCGCCTTTAGGAGTTTTTAGGTATTTCCGTCACCTTCAATGATACATTCCTTTGAGCCTTTACTGCTACTTCTGAAGACTTGTTTATATCTTAAAAATATCCATATATTACAGGCAAACTAAAGGTTCATGGGCATTTGAATAGCACTCTACTGTTTAGACACATGCCAGTTTTTTAACCTCATTTATTGCTAACATGTATTCAAAGCAATATACAGTTTATTGATACTAGAACAAATCAGGAAATCAAGACATGATTGCCATCATAAAATCTTAATCTTCAGAGAACAACATTTCCACCAGGTTGGCCTGAAGACACTCAGATTCTACCAGTTTTTGAGGCTGTAAGAGAAGAACAGTCAAATCTTCACTACTCCTATAAAACGTTATTAGGAGTGGAATAGGTTCTGCCTTGAATGCCACTAATCTTTGAACACAGAAATTATGCAATTCAGAAACTATCAACTAGTTATAACAAGTTTTATGAAAGAATCAAGATATTTGCTGTAAGATGAATCACTAACATACTTGGCTGAAGAGACTTAAACCCCAAATACCAGGAAGCTCCACAGACTAAAACAGGAAACAGCAAGCCCAGTGCCCTCTTCTTCCCCTCAACTCTTTAATTTAGGATCCCAGGGGCATGACTGAACTAGAAGAGGTGCCCTTACTTTTTAACCAGAATTATGAATTAAATAGAAAACAACTGTTGATGCCAGTGTTTTAAGGAATTATGAGTCAACCTACTTTCTGGCTATAGAATTTTTAAAGAGTGACTTAACATGAAAAAGACCTAATAGCTAGATATTTACATTATTAGTGTATTGGGATTGGCCACAGGAATGGACTTTCAGCAGCACTCTCAACAGCAATGGAATTGAGATGACATGTCAAGATCTTTTCAAATCTGGATCCACAGCAAGTTAAAAGTTTTGACAGTGAATTACAGGCCCAGCATATTTAAAGATACTTACTGTTCCATACTTAAGTAGTGTAGGCACTGCTGTTACTTTCAAGTTTTTTCTGAAGTCATTATTTGGATCTTTCCAACTGTTCCAAAAGAAAAAGTGATCATGAAAAAAATTTACTTGGTTTATTACGGTTTGCCTAATATTTGACATATTCCTACATTTAATTTTTTAGTGATCACTGTTCTTGCAAACACTTAAAAAACCATGTGGACTATGGCTTAATTTGTTAATTACCCTGTGCAAAGTTTTAAAGTGTGACTAAGATATAAAAGTAAAGCCAGCTAAGTTCTGAGCTTACACCAGACCAAATTCGTTGAATTACCCTTACTTAATTCAGGTGGGCATTTTAAATTTGTATTTAATAGCTTCTAATTGTTTAACTTGTGAGACATTGCCTTATAACACAGAAAGTGGGTGCGTGTCCCTGAGGCCCTTCCCGTCTCAGTTTGCAATCTGTGCATGTCTGTGAAGTAGATTATACGTTGCCACTTACTAAGGCTTTTCTCCTACTTGGCAGTAGATGAACACACATCCTTCACTGATGTGCTTCAGCCCCTCTCGTACGACTGGTTCAGCTTTAAAAAAAGTTGAGATAAAATAATCGCACGTCAACTCCAGAATCAGGCACTGATAAACAGTGTTCTTTTCCCCTTCCCCCAGTCTTGGTAAGTACTCAGACTTTAACCTGCAGCTAACTGAAGCGGTCAGCAGAAGTCAGGTGTTCACTTCTGGTCTTAGAGCCACGTTAAGGGTAAGGACCAAATCCCAGTCCCGATTTGCCCCCGCACCACCGCGCCCATAACAATGGAAAGCACCATGTATTTGCTGACCAATTCACGTATCCTGTAAGACTCTAATGGTACTGGGGGAGTGAGAAGTTTTAAGGAACTAGATTCCAAGATCATCCGGGTTAAATGGTAAAAGGAAGAGCGCTCTTGGCAGGACGGAGTAGAATTTAATAGGAGTTGACATGGGGACAGCTTAGATTGCCCCGCGGATGTCTGGAACCAAGACTCTGCCTCTGCTAAGCCCCCCTTCTGGTCGTAGGTTCGGCCTTCCTGCCATTTCCGTTGGACAGCAGCCCCCGAATCCCGGCCTCACCCTGCACGCAGTCGGGGCACCAGCTTTTCCCTCCGGCGTCCTTAGAACCCGTAAAGTAGGCGAAAATGGTCTTGCCATTGTGCTCTTCCACAGCCCGGTGGAACTCCTCGAAGCCGGACACGCTCACCTCCTCGTAGCGGGCCATTGGCACGACGTGCAGCAGCTGCTGGAGGAGTGCACGTCTGGCTGCTGCAGGCGGGGCCCACGTGGGCGGGGCGAGGCTGTTTCCGGATGGGCGAGAGGGCGGAGCTTGCGGAAGCCAGCGCCGCTGAAGAGTACGGGAGCCTCTGACGACCATAATCCATCCGCATGGCTTTCTGCTCTAGTTTCTCAGATTTTTCTGTGCTCGCTGCACTCCCAAGCCCAGGTCTCTACCCTAATCTAGTCCCAGCTCCGACCCCATGGACACTGGCTGCAAAACTTAACGCCTGGCAACACCTGGATCCTTCAGTAGTTCGGCGTCTCAACGGCTCCCAAGCCGCCCTGCGCCTGTTGCTATGGCGACTGGGCGGGCGGCCGGAAGCGCGGCCTAGTTGGGGCCCCCTTTGCCCGCTTCCCGGTAGCGGCGCCTCGCCCCAGCCAGGTGGGCTTGGGATGGGGCTAGGGGGGATTCTGGGAAGCTGCTTTGAGTCATGGACCTGGGGGAGAGGAGATCTGACTCGGAAAGCCTTTGTTGTTTTGTCCCCCCAATTACCTTTTCTTCCGTCTAGGCTTTAGGGGGGCCTGGGACTGGGGGCGGGTTCCTGAGACTGGGCGGGGGTGGGATGGGTGAGGGGCTAGGAGGGAGAAAGGCTGCGAGGCCGGAGCTGAGTGTGTGAGTGCCTGTGTGGAGCAGCTTAGGGAGCGAGGTGCTAAGACAACCCAGGGCCGCGGTAGCGAGGAAGGAAACTGCTCTGGAGCTATGAGCCGGGCGACTGGCCGTGGGGCCTTGCCCAGGCTGCGCCGGGGAGAGCAGGCGGCTAAGATGCCGGGTCGCTGCGTGGGGCCCAGCAGGTCGGGGCGGGGAGTTCGGCGGCCGTGGGGGAAGAGACGGGGCGCAGGGACGTCCCGGGGCCGTGGTGCAAGGCGCCGGGCGAGGTCCTTGGAGTGGGAGACGCGCTGTGTGAGTGCAGAAAGGGCGCAGGGCTGTCAGCGCCCGTGGGGGACGAGACAAGCGGCGGAGACAGCCGATGCCGCCGGGGCGAATGAGGCTTTGGAAGCTCCTGGCCCCCCAGGCTCCATCGAGGCTGCAAGGGACCCTGGGGCTGTGTGGGTGAATGGGGCTGTTGGGGAGCCCGAGGTGGTGGGGCCTGCTGGGGCTGTGTGGGTGACCGGGTCTGGGGAGGAGGAGGCCGAAGATAGGAGTCCCCGGGGCTGCGAGGGAAAAGGTCGCCCAGGATCTCTGGGCCATGAGAGCATTCTGCACCTGTGGCTGAAGGTGCAGGCTATGAGGGCCGCCTCGGGATGTGGGGAAGGAAGTAGAGTCGAGCTCCATCCCGTGCCTGTCGGAGAGGGACCTGTCGAAAGGGGTGTTCCTGGCCGAGCTTCCTGGGTAGAGACAAGCCGTGGTGGTCTTACAGGGCCCTGGGTGAAGGGCCAGGCAAGGGGGATCCCTCGGGCCCCCTCAGGGCCTACAGTTCTGGGCTTAGGGGCAGCTTACGAGAGAACCTTAGGCTTCTGTGGACAGGGACAGGCTGGGAGGGTGCCTCCTCCTGTGAGTGTGCCTGGGGCTCTGGCGTCAGGTTCTGAGATGGCCCCGCACCTGTGGAGGGGACAAGCTGTGGGGATTCCTGGGACTGGGGAGGAGATAGGCTATGGGCTTGTCCCAGGCCCTTGTGAAAAAGAACAGGCTGTGGGCGAGCCTGGGACCGTGGGGTGGCCTGGGGCTGTGGGAGCGCCCAGAGCCGTGGAGGGAGAGCTCGGCTGCGGGGGTGCTGCAGGGCTGTGGGGGAGAGGACATTCCCCGCAGATTCCTGGGGCTCTGGCACATGAAGCAGTCTGTGGGGCCACCCCTGGCGTATGGGGGAGGGGACAGGCCGTGGGGGTGTCCGATGCTGTGGAGGAGGAGCCTACTTCTGTGGGTGCCGCAGGTGTGTGTTACAGGAGACAGGCTGGGGAGGAGACAGACTCTGTGGGTATGCCTGGCCCGTGGGGCACGGGACACTCTGTTGGGGTGCCCTGTGCTACTGAAGAGGAAACTAGATGTGGAGGTGACCCAGGGTTCAGGGAAAGGGGACAGCCTGTGTGGGTGGAGACAGGCTCTGGGGGTGATCCAGGGTCACGGGGAGCTGCACAGACTGCAGAGCCATCATGTCCTGGGGAGCAGGCAGCAGGTTCTGGGGGTGCCCCAGGCCTGTGGCGGATAGAACAGGCTACAGGGGTACCCAGGGCCTTGGGGAAGGACACAGGCTGTGTGAATGTCCCAGGACTGTGGGGAGCGGGACAGGTGGTAGGGCTGCCCCAGGCTGTGGTAGTACCTGGAGCCCTGGGAGAAGAGCTGAGCCACAGCGGGGCCCTGGGCCTGTGGGATGGACAGCAAGTTCTTGCGGGGCCCCCAGCCGAGGCAGTGCCTGGGCTTGGAGAGGAGACCTGTGGTGGGAATGTCCTGAGCCTGTGGGAAAGGAGGCAGGCTGTGGGGGAGCCAGAGAGTCTGGGGCCTCCAGCTTTAGGGGTCCCTGGGTCTGTGGATCAGGAGGCTGGCTGTGGAGTTGTTTCATGTCTGTGTAGGAGGAGGCAGGCTGTGGGGGTGTCTGAGATGGTGGGCATACCCAGGGCAGCAGATGTGGCCCAGCACAGGTGTGCCACAGCAGGGGTCCCCGTGGCGCTGGGTGTGCCCGGCTCTGGAAAGGCGCCTGCCGGAGTGCCCGCTGCTGTGTGGGCGTCTGGCCCTGTGTGTCAGGAAGGCAGCTCCAGAGACATTTGGAACCTGTGGGAAAGGGCTCGGGCTGCCAGAATCTCTCTGGCTTCAGGGGGACCTGTGGCTCGGGAGGAGCTGTGGTCTGGCCGGGAGGATTGGGATTCTGGGGCCTTCTCGGGCCCATGGGGAAGGAGACAGACTATTGGGGTTTCTGTGGCACCTGAGGGGCCTGGGCTTGGGGAGGAGACTGACTCTGGGGGTATCCCAAGACCTTGGGGACGGAGACAGAGGGTAAGGACTCCTGTGGCCACCGAAGTGCTTCTGGCCCCTAGGGCGCCTGGTTCTGTGGAGCTGGAGCCTGGCTCTGGGGGTTTCTCAGGCTTGTCGGGGAGGCAGCAAACTGCAGGAATGCCTGGCACTGTGGGGCTGTCTGCAGCTAGTGGGGTGCCCGTGGCTCCCAGGGTGCCTAGGCCTGTGCAAGAGGAAACTGGCTCAGAATTGTGGGGCAAAGGAGAGACAATGGGTGGACCTCCAGATGCCAAGGGTCCCACAAGGATGGAGGTGCCCACCTCGACCAGGATGCCTGGGCCCATGGGGGAGAAGACTGGCTCTGGGGGTGTCTCAGGCTTGTTGGGAGGCAGACAGACTACAGGAGTGTCCATGGCTGTGCGGCTTCCGGGGTCTGTGGGGGAGGGGACCCTCTTTGAGCGTGTCTCTGGCCTGTCTGGAAGAAGGCAGACTGCTGGGAGGCCTGTAGCTGCTAGAGGTTCCATGGCTGTGGGAGTGCCCACAGCTCCCGGGCTCCCTGGGCCGATGTTAGGGGATACCGGCTCTGGGGATGACTGCTCAGGCATATGGGCAAGGACACTGGCCACTGAGGGGCCCACAGCTGCCAGGGTTCCTGGACCTGTGGAAGGAGAGACAGGCTCTGAAGGTGTCTCAGGCCTGTGGAGAAGGAGACACAGTGGAGCCATTCCCGAGGCCGGGAGGGTGCCTATGCCTCTGGGGGTGCTTGCAGCTGTAGGAGCTCCCATGGCAGGGCGCACACCTGCTGCGGTGTGGGTGACTGGGTCCTCGGGAGCAGAAGCGGATGTGGGTGTCTCAGGTGTGACCATGCTGAGGAGACAGTCCACAGGGGGAGTGGGGGCTTCAGAGGATGAGACAGGTGGTGGGAATATTCTGGGACTGGCCGGGAGCAGCCAGGCTGTGGGGGCATCTCACACTTATGTGCCCGGGACCAGGTTATGGAGTTGTCCAAGGTCTGTGGGGGAAGAAACGGCCTTTGAGAATGCTCTAGACATGTCAGGGACAAGAACAGCTGTGGGGATACCCCCAGTTTCAAGAGAGGAAATAGGCCTTGGCCATTTCAGAGACCACCTACAGCCAAGTGGGAGGAGGCTGGCTGGAGAAGTGTCTGCAGTCAGAGTGAGAGGGAGCAATTTGGGAGAGAGTTATGTGGGGGAGGCTAGATTGAGGGGGGCGTTCCAGTAGTGTGTGTAGGGAAGAAGTTGGGGCTCTGTGGGAGGGAACAGGTTAGGGGGAGGTTTGTCCTGGGTTGTGGATGAAGCACAGGCTGTAAGGGCATCTCGGCATGGGGGAGAGAGGGTTTTTGTGGAGATGCACCAGGGTATGTAGAGGGACAAATTGGGAAGTTTCCTGGAGCAGTGGGAAAGGGCCAGATTGCAAGGAGAGTCCCAGAACTTTGTATAGGGGGACAGTTTAGGGCTGGGTGTCCCTGGACTTTGTGCGTGTGTGTGTGTATGTGTGTATGTAGCATCACTTGAGGCATCCTGGAACTGTGGGGATCACCTAGTTTTTTTCTAGTGGAGAATGGACTGTTTGGCCCTTGGCACCTAGAAGCAGCCAGGGGAAAGTACTGACCATTCAGAAGTTGCAGATCCCTGGGCCCCATTTCTGCAGACTTCATTCTGCAACTCCAGCCGCGCAACCCGTGCCGATGTCAAGCCAGTTGGGATTGCCTCGCTCGTTTGCCTCCTCCCGTCTGCTTTTTTCACCGTGTGTCTACAGCCTTAGAAATAAGGACTCTTAGAAGCTGTCTTTATATTCCTAAGAAGTATCTGTCTTTAAGCAAGTCTAGTCTGCAAATTTTGGATTTATTCAAAAGCTTAAATTAGGGTTTTTTTTTAAACCTTGAATTTCCCAATTGATTTACTAGCAGATTTTTTGAGAGAACAAATTCCCCAGGGATTTAAAACTAGTCAGTTCACAGAAAATCGGCTTAACAAACGCTAAATCGTGTACTACGCTCAAAGCACTTTGTTATGGGAAATAGAAGAGCAAGACAAGGCCCTTCCCCTCAAGGTGCCTTGTCTGGCTGGGAAGATGCGACATACACATGTGAAATAGGTAAATAACAGTATGAGACAACACTATACATGATCAGTATGTGAGTGGCAGGGATAGTAAAGTCTATAATGAGGCCTTCAGAGTAGGGCAAGGCAATGATAAGGGTATAGCCCTTGACAGCTTACCAAGTGCTTTCATATCTGTTATCTTGTATACATATATGTAGGGTGGGGGAAAGATGGGGAGAAATGAAGATTGAAAGAGATGACTCAGCTCTCCAAATGGCAGATCCTGGCTTGAATCAAGGAATTCTGATGCTGCAGGTTTACTTAGAGTCGTTGAGCATTGTGTGCCTTTGGGCCACCCAGTAAAGTGAAGCATACTGCTTTCTGACTAGTATTAAGACTTGTTAATATAGACTGCGTGTCCGGAAACCACCCTGCTGGGACGTGCTAGTCTACCATGGCAAAGCTCTGTTTTGGGAATAACGTCTTGCTGGAGACCTTTGAGATTTGAAATGTGGAATGGAAAGGGATCAAGAGATTATTATTAAAATAGTAAGTGTTCCCCTGTTTTTTTTTTTTTTTTTTTGAAATTGGGAACTTCCAAAGTGTGGTTGTGTTTATAAATGGAAGAAACTATCATTTACCTGTGTTTAAGCAATCACTCTCAGTATGAGGTTGCTATTGGCTACTTCTAGTATATTGCTACAGGCACATGGCACTGTGTTTTATCTATTCTCTTCCCTTGTTTGAACGCTGTTGGTCTGAAGTGACTTTGCTTCGTTTTAGGAATGGTTTTAGGGAAGACTGTTGCCTGATGACAAGGCTGTCACTATTGTTGTGTACTACCTGCCATGATGGGACCAGGCCAGCCAGCTTCCACCTGTGTTCATCTAGCACCTAGGACCCAACTTGATGGGAGGAGCGATCCCACAGTTCTTCAGACCCAGGTAGTTCTGTTTTTGCCTGATTTTTTTAATTAAATATTTCAAACATAAAGAAAATTTGAGAGAAAAGGACAAGGTAACACTTTTGAAATCACCTCCTAGATTCAGCAATTGCTGACAATTTTTTCTGTCGGTTTTTCTACCTACTCAACCATCTGTCTCTAAAATTTTTGCAGAATCACCCCAAAGTAAGTTGCAGTCATGACACTTCTAAATATTTGAGAATACTTCTTCTAAAAATGAACTCTCCTATTTAATCATAATACTATTCTTAAACCTAAGAAAATAGACCCAAAAAATTCCCTGTTATCCAATAACCAGCCTTTATTCAGGTTTACTCAGTTGTCTCAAAAATGTCTTTTCCCCTAGCATTATATTATGAAAATCTTAAAAAATACAGCAAAGTTGAATTTTACAATGAACACCTAGATTCCATTATATTTCACTCATTTGTTTCATTGCATATCTGTCACTCAGTCATCCCTCTGGAGATCCATCCATCAATCCATCTTATTTTTTGACACATTTCAAAATCAATTGCAGACATGAATACCCGAACTACTTCCGCATGCATATTGCACATTAGAATTCACTCTGTTTAGGGCCGGGCACAGTGGCTCACACCTGTAATCCCGGCACTTTTGGAGGTTGAGATGGGTGGATCACCTGAGGTCAGGAGTTCGAGACCAGCCTGACTAACATAGTGAAACCCCTGTCTCTCCTAAAAATACAAAAAGGTGTGGTGGTACACACCTATAATCGCAGCTACTCAGGAGGCTGGGGCAGGAGAATCGCTTGAACGTGGGAGGCAGAGGTTGCAGTGAGCCGAGATTGTGCCACTGCACTCTACCCTGGGTGACAGAGCAAGACTCCATTTCAAAAAAGAAGAAAAGAATTCACCCCATTTACTGATTTTTTTCTTTCAATATACATATTATATCAGAAATGGTGTAATGTACACATTACAATGTGTACATCTTTTCACATTTGCTGAGTTTTGACAAATGCATACATATGTGTAACCCATACCTCTATCAAGATTCAGATCATTTCTATTATCCTAAAAAGTTCTCTAAATGCCCCTTCCTAGTCAGTCCCCACTCCTCCCCTCCAGAGGCAGCCACTATTCTTATTTTTTCCATCACAGATCAGTTTTCTCTGATCTAGAACCTTATATAAATGGGATTTTTTTTTTTTTTTTGGTGTTAAGACTTATTTCACTAGCTGTAAAGTATTTGAGATCCATCCATGTTATTGCATGTATCAGTAGTTTATTCCTTTTTAATCCTTTTTTCTCATTCCATAGTATAAGTATACCACAGTTTGTTTATCCATTCTCCGATTAATGGATACCTGGGCTGCTTCCAATTTGGGATTATTATAAATAAAGCTGCTATGAACATTCTTATACAGATATTTTTATGAACATGTTTTCATTTCTTTTGGGTAAATACCTAACAGTGAAATTGCTGAGTCATGGAGTAGGTGTGTATTTAGTTTTATAACAAACCACTGGACCTTTTTACAAAGTGGTGGTACCGTTTTACATTCCTGCTGAGAATGTATGAGAGCTCCAGTTGCTCCACATCTTTGTCAACACTTGTTGTTGTCTTTTTAGCCATTCTGGTGAGTGTTTAATAATATCTTATCGTGGTGTACAAAGAAATTTAAAAAATTTTTTTGAGATAATTTTTTGACATAAATTTCAGAATGAAATTTAAATTATGAAAAGCTGCAAGAATAGTCCACAGAATTCCTGGATACTCTTCTCCCAGATTCCTCAAATGCTAACATTTTGCTACATATTCCCTCCTTCTCTCTCTCACTGTCTCTGTACACACATATATTATTTTCTAAACCATTTAAGAGTAAATTGCAGGCACGGTGCCCTTTTACCTCTAAGTGTTTTTTTCCTAAAAATGAAGAATTCTGTTATATAACCATAGTACAATTATCAGAATCGGGAAATTAACATTAAGTGAATATTATCATGTAATCTACAGACCTTACTGAGATTTTGTTACTTGTCCCAATAGTGTCCTTTATAGCAAATGAAAATCCAAGATCATAACGTGCATTACATTGTCATGCCTCTGTAGTCTCCTTTAGTCTGATTCCTGGGTCTGTTTTTATGTTTTGTGACATTGATTTTTTTAAGAATATAAGCTAGTTATTTTTGGATTTTCTCTCAATTTAGATTTGCCTGATGTCTTCTCACAATTACGTTCAGGTCATGCACTTTTGGCAGGAGAACCACTGAATGATACTGAGTGCTTCTCAGTGCACCCTATCAGGAAGGACATGCTGCCAGTTTAGTCCCAGCACTAGCGGTGTGGACTTCCATCATTTGATTAAGGTGGTATCTGCCTAGTTTTTTCATTGTAAAGTTACTCCTTTGCTTTTTGTAATTATTTGTCTTGGAGACTATGTTAATGTCTCTTTAACACCTCAAACTTTCACCAACTACTTTTAGTATTTTTGCCTGAATCAGTTTTTTATTATGATGGTTGGCAAATGGGGATTTCTAATTTTACCTTTCCTTCTACATTTACTTGTTGCCTTACTACTATAAGGAAGAACTTTCCCTTCTTTTCCTAGTACTTACTTACTTATTTCAGCACAGACTCAGTATTATTTTTTATTCCCATTATTTATTTTGTTGTGCAGATATTTATTTTGATGTTCAAATGGTCTTTGATTTAGCCAGTGAGAGCCACTTCGAGTTGGCCCCAGTGTCTCTTTGACGTGATCTCATCTGTCTTTGACCACTTTATGGTGTAAAAAGACACTCCAAGGCTGGGTGTGGTGGCTCGTGCCTATAATCCCAACACTTTGGGAGGCCAAGGCAGGACGATCATTTGAGGTCAGGAGTTCAAGACCAGCCTGGCCAACATGGTGAAACCCCATCTCTACTAAAAAATACAAAAACATTAGCCAAGCATGGTGGTGCACACCTATAATCTCAGCTACTTGGGAGTCCGAGGCAGGAGAATCACTTGAACCTAGGAGGCAGAGGTTGCAGTGAGCCAAGATTGTACCACTGCACTCCAGCCTGGGTGACTCCGTCTCATAAATAAATAAATAAATAAATAAATAAAAGCTATTCCAGGCTCAGCTTGTCTTTTCCTTGTCCTGGTCCTGGAATTAACCGTTTATCCAAGGAGACTTTGATTTTTCAGTGGAGAATGAAATTTTAAAAATCACTATCTGGGGCTGGATGTGCTCCTTGATACTGTTTTGTCACTGTTTCTAGGCCCTCTCAGAGGACAACTAGGAAATAGATGTATACTTGTGTGCATATACATACATGTACACACATTCATAAATGCACATCCATACTCACATATCTGTATGTATACTTTCTCATCTGCTTCCCCTTCCTTCCTTCCTTCCTTCCTTCCTTCCTTCCTTTCTCTTCCCTTCTTCCGTTTCTGTCTATGTATCTTTCTGTGTCTGTCTGCCTAGATGTTTGTATTAAAACTCACAAGTTCACACAAGTACCTCCATTTCAAATCCAACACTACGTATTTCCAACTCCCTTGTCCAAGAGCGTGAAAGCTGGCTCTCATTATCCACAATATATTTACTTTTTTGCTCAATTCTAGAATGTACAAAAAGTCGTTTCTGAATTGTAATCTGTGTCTCTGCTCAAAACGAAGCCTGCAAAATTAGAGTTCAGTATTTGTTTAGAGTACATTTGTCTAAATTTAGCCTGACGGCATATAGTCCAAATACTATGTTCAAAAGTTACTGGGGTTAATTTTTTCATATTCACTTTTTAGCGTGGTTATGTTATTTATCTGAGATTCAGTTTGGTTCATTGATTTCTGTTGGTATTTATTTGAGGGTTTTTCACTATCCTTAATGGATTTTTTTTCCTTCCTTTCCTTCTTCCTCCCTGCATTCATTCATTTCTTTCTTCCTGTCTCTCGTGTATATGTGAAACATTAACATGGTTCCAAATATACGAAACGATATATTCAGAAAAGTTATCTGCTACCCCATTCCCTCTGTCCTTTCCATCCTGTTTCTACCGGTTACCTGTAGATAACTAGTCTCATTAGTCTCTGATTTTTGTTTTCTGTTTCTTTTTGCACAAGCCATTCAGACGCATATATGTTTTCTTGTGTCTTTTTTTTTTATATGAAGGGTCATATATTATAAATATACTTTTTGCACTTAGTGCTTTCTGCTAAACAATATATTCCAATCTCTCCACATTAATTCATAGAAGTGTCACAGAGATCTTCCTCATTTTTTTTTTACATCTTAGTTTTACTGCATTTTGTGGATAGACTATTGTTTATTTAGCTACTCTCCTCCATGGGGACTCAGATTGATTCTAATAATTTACAATTACAAACAATATGGCACAGAGTAACCCTATACATACATATTGTTGGCGGTGTGTCTGCAGGGTAAATTCGTAGAAGTGAGACTCCTGGGTCAAAAGGTAAATGTGACACTTGTCCTCCAAGTTGCCTGCTTGGGTCTCTTTCAAGTGTCTTTTCTTTCTTTCCTGCTCTAAAGCTTTTTAATTAAAAAAAAAAAGTGATGAATGCGTGTGTTTTTGTTAGCGATTGCCAAATTCCCCTCCATAAGAATTATGCCAGTTTGCATGACCACCAGCACCTCTTCTGTGAGGATGCCTGCTTCCCACTGCCTCACCAACAGCGTGTATTACTATACTTTTAAATTTTTGCTAATCGATTGGGTAAGAGATGGTATTTCCATGTATTTTTAACTTGTGTTATGAGATTGGACATCTTCGTATGTACCTAAGGACCTTTTTTTTGGTAAATTACTCATATGTTTTTCCCTGTTTTTATTGAATTTTGATCTTTTTGTACTTCAATAATTATAATAATTATTATTATTTAGACAGTCTTCTCTGTCACCCAGGCTTGAGTACAGTGGCTCGATCTCGGCTGACTGCAACCTCCACCTCCCAGACTCAAACAATTCTCGTGTCTTAGCCTCCTGAGTAGCTGGGATGACAGGCGTGTGCCATCACGCCTAGCTAATTTTTGTATATTTTTTAGTAGAGATGGGGTTTTGCCATGTTGGCCAAGCTGGTCTCAAACTCCTGACCTCAAATGACCAACACTGTTCATCAGTCTATGTACCTTTCAGATGGTAACTACTTGTTTTCTCTTTAGTGAGCTTTTTAACTACTTTTAAAAAATCCGAAATACTTTCCTGAAGTTTTGTCACAATGGATTATTTTTAAGTGACCCTTGATGGCTGTGATTATATAAACACATTGATTGTGAGAGCTGGGGAGGTCATCTCCAAGGTCAAGGCATCACAGGACTGGGTTCATTGAATTTGTAGGCATGGATTCTCCTCATGCTATTGACCTGTCTTTGACAGGTTCATTCTGGAAGACCTAAGGAGGGTACATATTTAAAGCCATAAAATCGTTTCTTTCCTTTAAACTGATAATGCCGGAACAGATCATTTATCCTAACGAAATGATTTTAAAAGGTTAAAAAACTAAATGCATGGAGATATTAATTGAGGTAATATTTCTATTAGTGGAAAAACTGGAACAATCTAAATGTTTAATAATAACATTATAGTTAAGCATGAAAAGACCATTCATTGATTTTAGAAAATGCAACAATGACAAATAAAAACTGTAGGGATATGGAAACATGCTTATGTTTAAGTGCAAAATGAAACAAAACTTGTATTTATTATGAGGAAAACTGACAAAAACTTGAGCCTGTGTAAGAAAGCATAAGTAGACTGTTTCAAGTGAGGTACACTTAGGGGCAGGGTAAAAGATGGATCCAGCCACCAAATGAAGTCTCAGGAAGACTTATGAAGAAGTATTATCAGATGGCTTGGGTCTATCCATGGAACAAATTTTAAGAAAGCTCCAATGGGTTATATTGGTCACTTGCTGGGGCCTGACATTTTGAAATAGGACAGAAGTCCATAACTGGGAAATTGAAGGACTTAGTGGTTGCTGCTTGAAACTTTCTGGGTCGACTTTTAGAAGTGGGTCCCAGTATGACATTAGTAAACAGAAGGATAATAGTATGGGACTGGATGATTGTAGGATAGAACTGGGGTATGTGATGAACCCAAGGGTGTAGGAGAGTGGCTGTGTCTATCAGTAAAATAGAAAAATGCCTCTTAGCACTAATGATCTGGTGGCGAAATTTTAGAAATTTGGTTATAGACTTGTACCAACTGTGCAGTGTGGAATTTTTCTGATGTCTGCTTTTATTTGCTTCTTAAAGAACCAGCTGCAGTTTAATAGGAATGTTCCTACACATTCAAGCAACTTGGCAATCCGATATTCTTGCCCGCATGCCATTAGAATTGAAAAACTGAAGCACTCATACAATGAATCATACCATTGTAAAGATGCAGATTGTAGAGTTGGTCCTGACCTAGGCAGTTCTGTGTCATTTTCTGTCATATCAGAAGAGAGACTTAGTTATGCTGTCCACCTAGCCAGAAGAGATGTGAAACGAAGACAATTTGAAGAACATATAAAAGAACATCATCTCAGAAGTCAGCCTCAAAGCTCTCGGAAGTGTGGACATGCTAAGTGTAAAATACCTGACCACAGGGTGGAAAGGAAGGAATCAAAGAGTCAAGCAGCCTGTCAGTGCAGCCACCAGCCGTCCAAAGTAGAAATCTCCAGCTCGGGTGCCAAAGTATACCTTTACTCATCTCATCCAGGCCAGTCAGATCTCACTGTGCCAAATTCACCACCCACCCGTGATCCGGGACTTCAGCCTCATCCCAGGACAGGTGACCACAAAAGCATAAGTGAACAGAAAAGCCTGCTAGAAGTCCAGCGACTCCAGAAAGAACTGAGCAGTTGTATCCACAGAATTGAAGAGGTAACGAAAAAAGGTGAGAAAAATTAGATTCTTTTCTTCGATTTAAGGCTGTGAGTATGGGGTAGTTTAAATGCATTCCTTGAGGACCCTTAACCCCTACAGCAGTTTCATTCCTTCCTTCTGTGAGTTGGTTCACTGGAGTGTGAGCACTCAGGACAAGACAGTTAGGCTTAGAGTTTGAACAGTGTCTTCCCCCAGCTCCTGTTTCCAGCGGAGGGACATGAAAGAACTTTTTCACTGTGGCTGCCCTTCGAATGTGCTGAGGGCCCAGCCTAGGAGGTAGCGTTAATGTTGGCTGAACCTTAGGTCTTCTGGAACCTGAGTGCAAATTATCCTATAATGTTTTCCCTCTTCTGGGAAAATTATTTTTCCATTTGCTCAAAAAAAGAGCATAAAGTATTTATATTATAGGTAAAACCAGTTCTCACTTGGGCAGTATTTAGGTGAGTACACACCAGTGACAAGGGAAGTTGTGGGTATATGTGTAAAATGAGTACAGGGTAGGAAGGAAGAAGTTTAATCATCGTATATGGTTTTCTACAGTTCTGCAGTGTTCTCAGGGCCCTTGCATTTCCCTGCTGAGTAGAAGACTGGTTCCTCGTGGAGAATTTGGGGTTACCATAACTAACAAGTAGGGAATCAAGCCCAGCTTTCAGACTGCAAGGGGTATGGAGTTGAGCATCAAAAGAAACTGTTGCGCTAGGGCAGTACATAGTCTAGAATTATTTTTTGCATTTTCAATTTAATTATGCATATGTACATATATGCATCTTATGTAAAGAATTTAAGATACCTTAAGAAATACCTGTGATTGAATGAGATAAAACAAAAATGCACATGACGACATTGTGGCAAATGAAGCAAAAGGAAAGGAAAAGCATTTACTAGGGATGAGTCACAGATTTGCTTCCGAGCTTCCTAGGAGCCAGCTAAAGAGGGGACTTCAGTCACTTGGAGAATTTACAAAGTCTAAGATGGAAAAAAACAATTGTGTAAGGAAAGCAGTGATTCCACATATTAAGGCCAGAAAGAAATTTCTCCTGCAGGTCTTCTTCAAGAGTGTGCTGTATAATATCATGAACAATTCAAAAACATTCCAGTATAAAAGTAACAGAAATGTTGTGGCTTGTTTCTCTTGACATTCCTTAGTGTCAGCCTGTGGCACGGCCCCCTGCACACTTTGGTTGAAGCCCTGCGAGCAGGGGAACAAAGCCACAAGGCCCACTGCTCCGGTGATCTGGCCTAATACCGGGGAGCTGTTAGAACGGTGATCTGGCCTAATACCGGGAACTGTTAGAACAGAGCTTTCAAAGCCTCTGTGGGGAAGGACTGGGTTGGTTTATTTTATTTACATACATTTTCAGTGCGTCATAAGTCAGTACTTTGTGAACTATAATAAAAATGTCACAGTAGTGGCAAACTGCTATGGAAACACGTAAATGTATGCTTTAAATTTCTGTACCTAACCTTTCAGGGACGAATAATAGTTTGCGATGGCCCCTGGCTGCAGACCCCCTTTAAAGTAGCCCCGAAGGCCCATTTGTGCTTCCCAATGCTGCTTTGTAGATAGCTGCAAGCGCTGCATCAGAAATCGTCTGCAATGAGCCTTCAAACCCCCCACCTAAGCCCGTTCCATTTGTGTTCGTATAAGTATGTGAATCCGGATTTCCTCCCTACCATGCAGCCCAAACGAGATGAAAATAATTAGACAAATAAGGTCTCATGAGACTGCATCTGTATGTACAACTTCTGACTTCAGATTTTTGCTTTCTTCAAAACAGCCTTATATTCTTTGCATTGTTTGATGTTTTAAAGAGTAAATATGAAAAATTTGAACTTATAAAATACACTTTTACTAATTGAAGATTCCCTTTTCTTTGATAATTGGACTATATTGGAGTTTTGTATAAGAATTTGTGTAAGTGTATTTGGAAACCACAGCCTGGAAGGAATAGATAGATTGCATCTCCTTCAGGCAGTTTTCCAGAAACAATTTCTTTGAACCAGTCTTTTGAAGATGTAGAGCACCAGTGTGTACAAGGGTATGTTTCCTGAGAAATGCATGAAGACTCTAGGCACTCAAATAATTTTAAGACTTGCTATCTTAATATGTTAGAGAAAGGACTTGTCTTTTGAAATCAAGATTAAGGCTAGGCATGGTGGCTCACACCTGTAATCCCAGCACTTTCGGAGGCTGAGGCAGGCGGATCACTTGAGGCCAGGAGTTTGAGACCAGCCTGGCCAACATGCCGAAACCCTGTCTCTACTGAAAATACAAAAATTAGCTGGGTGTGGTGGTGTGGACCTGTAATCCCAGCTACTGAGGAGGCTGAGGCATGAGAATCACTTGGCCCGGGAGGTGGAGGTTGCAGTGTGAGACTGGTAACAGTGTGAGACTCTGCCTCAGAAAGAAAAAGAAAACAAAAGATTATGATAAGATGCTATCTTAGTATCTTTTTTTTTTCTTCTTCTTCTCTTTTTTAAGACAGTCTCATTTTGTCACCCAGGCTAGAGTGTAGTAGCACAATCTGAGCTCACTACAACCTCCACCTCCTGGGTTCAGGCAATTCTCCTGCCTCAGCCTCCCGAGTAGCTGGGATTACAGGTGCACACCACCTTGCCCGGCTAATTTTATATTTTTAGTAGAGACAGGGTTTTGCCATATTGGCCGGGCCGGCCTCGAACTCTTGACCTCAGGTGATCTGCCCGTCTCAGCCTCCCAAAGTGCTGGAATTACAGGGGTGAATCACCATGTGTGGCCGGGATTTCTCTTTTGAATTCAACATTTGATTATTCTCTATTAAACAGCAAAGAGTAAAGACCATGTTAAGTGTCTTTCAGGACATATTTAGTGGCTGATCAATAGGCATTTATTAATATCTTCTGTACATTGTGAAACTAATCTTGCTAAACATAACAACAGGCCAATAAAAAGTTTTTGAAAAAATAGCAAGAATAACAGATTTTGGCTCAATATAAAGAATTTTAAAACAGTAAGAGTTGCCTCATAGTGAAATCGCTGTCCAGTGGGAATTCTGGCTGGAGGGGAGCTTGATGGAGTAAATGTCTTCATATCCCTTCCATCTCTCAGTCAGTACACAGTACCAGTTACTGCTGGTTTCTTGGCTGATGAAAAATGAAATTTTGTGTTATGATAGCTTCATTTTTTTCTTAATAAAACCAGAGATCTTCAACTTTATTATTTCTGTAAGTAATCGAAGTCTTTGTAAGTTTTAATATATGGTTTATAATCCACTTTTGGGGAAAACTATTAATATTTTCAGGTAGACTAGAAGAAGCTTTGGATCCAGATGAAGAACGTCGAATCCGTGTCAGGAGACAGGAGCAAGCTGCTCGCTCTGCCCGAATGCTCTACGTGCTCCAGCAGCAGGTGTGAAAAGTTCAGGGAGAAGCAGGGCAGTCAGCCTTGTGTACTGCTTCCTTAGAGAGTCTCCGTTTTCCTTTGGTCTCAGAAAGATGAGCACTGGAGTATCCCATCTGAGTTCTGAGAGATTTGTGAGGCTCAATTTCCTGAACACATGGGCAAATAATTCTCATTCTTTTTGTAATCTGCGTGTGTGTGTGTGTGTGTGTGTGGGTGGGTGGGTGGGTGTGGCCAAACTCCTTAAACAGTGGTTCTTGACTTTTTGAGGTCATAGACCTTTGAGAATCTATTAAAAGCCTCTCCTCCCCACCCCCAAGATGCTTATACGTTATATAGCACATATTTTTGCATAGGAAGTCAGGTGGATCAGTTACCCTGAACCCTTGGTCCTAGCTGTGGACCCCAGTCTTAGAGAAAAGGGACCTTGTTAGTTTCCCTTCTATTTCATGTTTATAATGTATAGAAGCTTGTAATAGTAAATAACTTGGTAAACAGCAAAGAGTAAAGACCATGTTAAGTGTCTTTGAGGACACCTTTAGTGGCTGATACACAGGCATTTATATTCTTTACGTTGTGATGGATTTTAAAAAAGTGTTTGTTGTGACTTTCATGCCTTATACATTAGTAAGCCTTTTACTCATTTCTGGTCACTGAAGTCACATGTTAGCCTTATTGCTTGAACCAAAAACTGTACTTTTTCATTGAAAAGAGCATGCCTGAGTTAGGTTTTGCACTGTATTCTTTTGGGTTCTATTTCAGTTCTTATTCTACACTGCTGCCGTAGAGATTGCTCTAAAACATGAATCTTACCATGTCAGACCTCTGCTTAAAAGACTTTAGTGGCTCTCTGTAACTTAGAGGACGAAAGCTAAACTCTTCAGCGTGGCGTGTAAGACTTCACGATCCGGTCCGCCTGCGTTTCCAGAGTCACCTCCACCTTCACTCCTTCATGTTAAATTCCTATTATATTACACTGGGGACCAAGGGGTGAAGGTGAACACTGCCTATTTACCATCTCGAACTGGAAACCGGTAACTGTTTTTTGGGTACGTGAATGAAGAGCCTTTTTTCATTTTCAAGTGACTTGAATTAATAATGGTTATATTTGGACAAGATGAGATATATCGATGTATCCTTTCCTACAAAAAAGATCCATGGAAAGGTATGAAGTTTTCTTTTTTCCCCTTTACAAAACAGGTAAAAGAAATCCAGGAAGAATTGGATAAATTGAGTCCACATAAAATTAAACACACTAAGAAGGTATGCTGCAATTAAATTATTTATTAAATTATTTATAAATTAAAAATATTTATAAATATGAATATTATAAATTACTTATAAATCACATTTCCCAGTGTTTTGTTAGTATTGTGTAGGGCCCTCTGCACTAATGTTATTTTCAGTACTTGTAGAAACCTGTTAGTGAGGGAGCGAGCACTTTAAATATTCTGAATATGGTTGCCTTCCAAGGAACAGGTTCTAAAAAATAGATTTTTATTTTTGTTGCTGCTGGTGTAAGAAATTGGGAATAGTAAGGAAAAGACTGTCACTGGAAAACTTTAAACTTTAAACTCACTTTACTATGAAAAAGTTTTCACAATAGAAAGCACTTTATACAGAAAGAAGACAGGCTATACATATTCTTAGAAGTTGGGTGATTGTTAGCAAGTTCTGAGTATGGAAATGACTTCTCTCATCTTGTTTATTACCAGTCATGGGCAATGTCTAAGCTGGCGGCTGCCCATCGAGGAGCCATTCGGGCCTTACAGATGTTTGTCACTCAGTTTACTGACCGAGGGGAGCATCCACTTCCTGGTCGGTATAGGGAACTGGGCAGCCTTATTCGCCAGCTTTCGCTTTGTTCTGCCAAGCTGGATGCGGACCCTTCTGTTCCTGATGTGGTTATAGATATTCTGCAACAAATTGAGGTATGGAATTGATTCCAATTTTTGTTAGAGGTGTATCGGAAGTAATGCTTACTATTACCTAGTTTCGTTAGGATTTATGGAGAATACAAGACAAAGCCATTACCTAGTGAATTAAAAGCTTTGCAGAGGGCAGAAGAAACACTTATTTTTATTTTGTTATTTTTACAGTCTAGTCTATGTTATCGTATTTCACTACTTCAAAAATTGGTGACTTGAATATAAAACATACAACAACTTTAAACCAGGTTCATTAACTAAACGGAATGTGCCATTCCCTGGCCCATGCCATTTGAGAAAAAAATGTATTAGCATAGAAAAGGAAACCAGTAAAGCATTCTTAGATTAGAATATCAGTGTTTAATTTAGATGGATTTTAGAAAAGAAGAAACACTTAAAGGTACAGTATATGGAATCAGAACCTTAAATCTTGTGATATAGCTAGAGAGTTCTAGAAATCACAACTGGCATGCATTAGACAGGAATTGATAGTGTTCTTACTCTTGTATTTCTCTAGATAGATGAGATCACCTATAAATCAGCGTGGACAAATCCAGTAAACTTTGTTTTGTTTCTTTTTTCACTGGTGACAAAGATACCTCAATTTTATAGCTCTCTGAAGTTTGCATGGTGGTACCATATAATTTTGCCATTTGAACCTGTCTATGGCAGTATGCTTTGCAATGGGTTTTACTGCTGTTGTACGGATTAAGCTTTTTTAGAAAAGCAAAAGTTGGAGAGATGACAGTTATTTTTCTTGAGAGCTAGAGATCAAATTTTGTCTTCTGACTCCCATGCTAGTATTAGTTCCCCTACGCCATATATTTTCATCCACAAATAGAAAGGTGATCTTTATGTTAGTGTGCCATAGTAAGCTGTTAGCTGTAGAAGAAAGGTGGATAGTGGAGAGAATTCTAGACTAAATGACACTCCGGTTCTACCACCATTAACCAGCTCTCGGTGGTCTTTAAGGCCCCTTCTTCCTTCACTGTTTCATTGTCAAGCAAATATGATTGTGATTTTCATTGGTTGCATTTGTGTATATAGAGCTCGCTGTGAGGAATGCTGTTGTCAAATGCAGACCTTAGAATTTCAGGCCGCATCTCAAGTCATGTGATGCTTTTTTAACATATCCATAAGAAACGTTTATTGGCCGAAATAACTTTATTTAGAGTACACATCTTCATAATCCTAGAAAGGATCTGAAGAGACTCTCTAGTCCCTCTCCTACATTGTGAGCTTGAATAAGAGTACCTTTAACATAATGTTTCTTCAACAGAATGTTTATCTCCCCTGCTTTTCAAAATGCAAGAAATGGGTTATTTTTCCTGTTGTGGCCCTACACCATCTCACGGTGTATTGTCTTACTATGTTACTATTCTCTGAACTAAATCTTCCTGACTGTGTTCAGTTGTCCTTAATCTGTACTGACCAGGTGGAGACTGGGCCCTGACTTCCCAGTAATGAATGGGTGGGAACTTATTAGAGGATATGCCTCTTTTTAGGAAGGTGAGACACAGATCTTCTACTCTTATTGACCTATTAAGTATTCTTTAGTTCATGAAAATGTATGTTAGATACAGTATGTGTGTCCACTTGAAAGACTATTTGAGTTTATGAGATTTTTGTTGATGATTAAAATGCTTTTGAAGCAGATGGGATAATGTTCTGAAGACTATTGTTAATTTCTAAAATGATGATCCTTTAAGATTTGGATGCCTTTAAAAGTAGTCATATTCATTATGTCTTTGCTATTGGCTTTAGTGAGCTACACATCTGAAAGTACTTGCAGAAATTGTTATTAATTAGATATCCTAAATAATAACATTTTTAAAATTAAGATTATATTAACTGTTAGAGATAGCCATTTAATAACACATTTCCCTGGAGTCCTTATTTTCAATTTTGTGATTAAAAGTCATACTTTTCTGAGATAAACTAAGAGAATAATTGATTGTTTTTGTGGCAGGCTTTGGAATCTCTCCTGGAAAAGAAACTGTCACCAAAAAAGGTGAAAAAATGTTTCAGTGAAATTCGGAGCAGATTTCCTGTTGGTAGCCAAAAGGCCTTAGAGAGATGGCCAAGTATATCACCAAAGGGTGAGAGGAGGCCCCTCACAGCAAAGGGCACATGCCCACAGGAAACAAGTCAACCTTCCATGGCAAAGCAGCTTCTTGCCGGTATGTGTCTTAAAGTGTTTGTTGCAAGATATTTTATTCATTACAATTATCTGTGCTGTAACAGTTACTGCACTGAGGGGAAAGTCAGGATTTAGGACCTAGCCCACAACAGATGAACTTTAAGTAGGATCAGTAGATAGCAACCAAGATGCTCCCTCAGGCTGGAGGCTGGAATATTCTATAGAGGAAGGTTGAGAAAGTAACATTTCCTTTTGCTACATCATAGTGTTTGGGCTACCCAAGGCAAATTCCCATAGAGCTGGAAGTTAGAACCCTACTTTAAAAAAAAGTTTATTTATAATGATAGAGATATATACACACACAGAGACACACACATACATTATATATATATATATATATTTTTTTTTTTCTTCAGATAAGTTTTTGTTATTCTAAGAAGTGGAATTGTTAGGTGATACAGTATGCGCATTTAAACAGATACTGCCAACTTGCCCCTTAAAAGTGGGCACACATTTATGTCTTGACTAGCGGTGACATCAGTATGTATTTCCACTCATCTTCACCAAGTATGTTATATAAAAAAATTTTGAAAGCTTTCCAGTCTCAGTGGACAGTGGCATCTTCTTGTTTTCTGTTGCATTTCGTGATTCCTGGTGAGGGTTGTCATTTCTTCACGTGCTCCTTAGCCGTGTTATTTCCTCTTCTGTAATTTGCCTGTTCATATTCTGTATCCATCTCCCTGCTCGGTTTTAAGTGTTTTGCTTATGGATGTGTATGTTAGGATACTGCATTTCGTTGGTCTGAGGTACACATTTGAATGCTCCTGAAATCATTATTAATTGATGACAACGTGTAGTTAATTGTAACAGTTTAAAATTGTAAACATTTTAAACATTTAAAAATTCCTGGTGAGGTATAAAATACTGATGTGTCTTATAATTGATGTTTTAGATTTGATGAAATATGGGACTTTGTTGGTTAACTCTTGTATTTCTCTAGATAGATGAGATCACCTATAAATAAGTATGGACAAATCCAGTAAACTTTGTTTTTTTTTTTCTTTTTTCTTTTTTTAATTAAAGTAGAACATACAAGTTGGGGGCGGTGGCTCACACCTGTAAACCCAGCACTTTGGAAGGCCAAGGCAGGTGGATCGCTTGAGCCCAGGAGTTTGAGACCAGCCTGGGCAACATAAGTAGACCCTGTCTCTACAAAAAATGCAAAGATTAGCCAGGAGTGGTGACTCACGCCTGTGATCCCAGCTACTTGGAAGGCTGACACAGGAGGATCACTTGAGCCTGGGAGGTGGAGGTTGCAGTGAGGTGAAATTGCACCACTGCACTTCAGCCTGGGTGACACATACAGATAGAAAAGTACACAAAATAATGTAGATTTATAGCTCAATTAATTACCAGAAAACAAAAACATCTGTATAACTGCTATCCAGGTCAAGGAATAGAACATTACCGGCATCTAAGAAGTTCCCCTTTGAGTTACCCCTTCCAATGTTTATCTTCTTCATTTTCCCCAGATTATTCTGATTTTTTTTTTTTTTTTTGAAGTGGAGTCACACTCTGTTGTCCAGGCTGGAGTGCAGTGATGCGATCTCGGCTCACTGCAACCTCTGCCTCCCGGGTTCAAGCAATTCTCCTGCCTAGCCTCCTGAGTAGCTGGAATTACAGGTGCGCACCACCATGCCCAGCTAATTTTTTTATTTTTAGTAGAGATGTGGTTTTACCATGTTGGCCAGGCTGGTCTTGAACTCCTGACCTCAAGTGATCCAGCTGCCTCAGCCTTCCGAAGTGCTGGGATTACAGGCGTGAGCCACAGCACCTGGCCTATTACTGGAGTTTTTAATTGTTTTAGAGTTCTGTATTCAATCTACTTACATTTAATGAGATTAATGACATATTTGAACTTTTTTCTGCCTGATTTTATGTTTCATTTGCCAAAGTTTTTTTCTTTGTTGTAATTTACTACATTAATCAAAATTTTATTTCATTTTTTCCTCATTGATTTGAAAGTTATATTTATCAGTCCAGAATTCAGTTGATTTATTTCTCAATCTGCCACTATTCTGTGGAACCTTAATAATTGGGTGTTCCACTTCTACCACAAGTGTAACTGTAAGAGACAGGAAAAACAAACTGTTTTTCCTACTTACTTAAGACTGTCAATACTTCACCTCTGACACCAAATGTGTAGGGTTTTGCCACACCAAACAATTCTCCAGGGGACACCAACTGGGTATCCTGTAATTCAACTCAGTCCTGACACTGTCTCCCTGGAATTAGAGTCAGATACCACGGGTTAAGGTTCAGTCCCATAAGACAATCCAACTTCAGACACCAGTCACAAGTCCCAGGTTGTGACCTATGCTTCTGAGTGACAGGCTATAAAATTGGGGCTTCCTTGACCCCCTCCTGGGGTTTGCTAGGATGGCTCATAGAACTTAGAGAAACACTTTACTTATGTTTACCCATTTATCATAAAGGGTGTTATGGAAGATACAGATGAACAACCAGATGGAAGAGATGTGTAGGACAAAGTATATAATATGTGGAAGGGCACAGAGCTTCCATGCCCTCTCCAGGGGTGCCACCCTCCAGGACCCCCCACATGTTCGCTATCCTGGGAGCTCCTCAAACCCTGCAGTTCTGGGATTTGTTTTTTTCTTTTTCGTTTTTTTTGAGACAGAGTCTCGCTCTTGTTGCCCAGGCTGGAGTGCAGTGGCGCGATCTCGGCTCACCGCAACCTCCGCCTCCCGAGTTCAAGTGATTCTCCTGCCTCAGCCTCCCGAGTAGCTGGGATTACAGGCATGTACCACCTTGCCCGGCTAATTTTATATTTTTAGTAGAGACAGGGTTTCTCCATGTTGGTCAGGCTGGTCTTGAACTCCCATCCTCAGGTGATCCACTCGCCTCGGCCTCCCAGAGTGCTGGGATTACAGGCGTGAGCCACCGCACCCAGCTAGTTTTTGGATTTTTATGGAGACTTCATCACATAGGCATGATCAATGATGAACTCAATCTCCAGCCCCTCTCCCCTTCCTGTAGGATGGAGGATGGGACTGGGAGTTCCAAGCTTCTAATCATGGCATGGTCTTTCTGGTGACCAGCTCCAAGAGTCACCTCATTAGAGAAAAAAAAAAAAAAAGAAAAATGCTTCCTTAGCCAGGAAATTCCAAGGGATAAGACCTCTGTGTCAGGTACTGGGGTTAAAGACCAAATATTAGGAAAAAAAGATGAACCTAGCGCCCCTATGCTAGGGAAATTAGAAGGGTTTTAGGAGCTCTGGGCCAGAAACTGGGCTCGAGACCAGATGTTTATTTTTTATTATATTACAATAAAAACCTAATTTGTTCATTTACTGTTAGGTATTTATTCACTTTAATGGGATGTTCGCTCTCCTTCGTTGGTAGGCAGGTAAAACTAATATAGTGTCTTCCTTCTAATTTAGAAGTCTGCCTTTGCCAGCCTTTCCCTTGAGGGTGGGTGTCAGATTTATTTGTCCTTATATCCTCTATGATGAGCCCAGCATCTGCCACATAGTTAGGCACTTTAAGTGCTTGTTGAAAGACTCTATGAAGAAATGTAATTGAATAAGAAAAGATTTCTGAGTAGCAAATCATAGTAACTTGAGTTCTGGGTGCTAGGGAGCTCATTTTGATAGACTGGAGGAAATGGAGAGAACATTCCAGGCCAGCACACAGAGAAGTGTTTGCTAAATGAGTTAGAAGATTTGAGGTGCTCATCAGCTGACTAGTGAAAAATGGAGACCAGTTTCAGAGAGAAGCTGGAAAACCTGCTAACCTAAAACTCATTACAGGAACAAATGTAGGAAAGCTGGGAGGCAGAGGGGGGAAATTTGGACCAAGGAGACCTAGATTCTAGTCCCACCTCTGCCAGTTTCTGAATCTGGGTTGACTTAACCTGTCTGAATCTTATTTATTTATTTATTTTGAGACATAGTCTTGCTTTGTCGCCCAGGCTGGAGTGCAGTGGCATGATCTCAGCTCACTGCAAACCCTGCCTCCTGAGTTCAAGCAGTTCTCCTGCCTCAGCCTCCGGAGTAGCTGGGATTATAGGCACGTGCCACCCTGCCTGGCTAATTTTTTGCATTTTTAGTAAAGATAGGGTTTTACCACGTTGGTTAGGCTGGTCTTGGACTCCTGACCTCAGGTGATCCACCTGCCTCGGCCTCCCAAAGTGCTGGGATTACAGGTGTGAGCCACCGCGCCCGGCCTGAATCTGAATTTTTTCATCTATAAAATGGGAAGGATAGTCTTTGTGTTTTGTGACTGACTTAGTTGTTGTAAGTGGCAAATTATCTAGTTGCTAAATGCTGTAAAAATCTAAGGTGGAGGCCGGGCGCGGTGGCTCAAGCCTGTAATCCCAGCACTTTGGGAGGCTGAGACGGGCGGATCACGAGGTCAGGAGTTCGAGACCATCCTGGCTAACACGGTGAAACCCCGTCTCTATTAAGAAATACAAAAAACTAGCCGGGCGAGGTGGCGGGCGCCTGTAGTCCCAGCTACTCGGGAGGCTGAGGCCGGAGAATGGCGTGAACCCGGGAGGCGGAGCTTGCAGTGAGCTGAGATCCGGCCACTGCACTCCAGCCTGGGTGACAGAGCGCGACTCCGTCTCAAAAAAAAAAAAAAAAAAAAGAAAATCTAAGGTGGCATTTTTAGTTTTAATAATAGCACTAAGTTATTAAGAAAAGGCTAGATTATGTTAGGCATTTTCTAACTAAGGAAACAAATCTTTGGTGGCTATTTTAAAAGGAGTTTTGGGCCAGGTGCAGTGGCTCATGCCTGTAATCCCAGCACTCTGGGAGGCCGAGGCGGGCAGATCACGGGGTCAGGAGATGGAGACCATCCTGGCTAACACGTGAAACCCCGTCTCTACTAAAAATACAAAAATTAGCCAGTATGGTGGCATGTGCCTGTAGTCCCAGCTACTGGGGAGACTGAGACAAGAGAATGGTGTGAACCCGAGAGGCGGAGGTTGCAGTGAGTCGAGATCGCACCACTGCACTCC